CTACAAAAATTCCTTTATTCTCATAAACTATTTATTTTAAATGTAATTTATTATAAATCCAATTTGTTTCCTAAATTCCACATATGTACTACATTTTACCTCTGTACGCGCCACTGTTGTTTACTTGTTTTTTGGAAGCGCTCTCTAATTGACGGCAAAGCTCGCCAGGTTAGTATTTGACGTATAACCGACCAGTTCGTACACTCGATGCACCTGGGCGACTACAGCTACTACCAGAACACAGTGCGTATGCAGCGGTATTTCAGATTTTACATTGAATTTCATTTTAAATTTGAAATGATTTATCTTACGCCTCCTAAAAATGATGACACGATTTTCCTTTGATAAAAGACCGACAACTTTTTGCTCTACTTTGCATCAAAAACGATCCTACTATAACTTACTTTTTTCAAATGGGCCTCCTCATATTTTCAAATTTATTATTAACTTATTGCTTCTTTGATGAAAAATATTGGGTGTAGATACTTCTAACCATTTTATTGTTGTTTGATGTTTTCTTTATTAAGTAACATTTAATGCAATATGCAAGTAACAAAATGAACTACGAAAATTATGTGTACATTGTTCAATATAAAAATAACTTAAATATTAGAAACATTTTTACAACAATCTCTACAATTTGTTTTGAAAATTGCTAATTTGATTTTGTTCGAGACATTTGAGATAAGCACAATTTCATATTTCTGCTTGTAACTTTTAAACAAAAGGAGATATCAAAAAAGTTTATTGATGAAAGTTTATCAGAGAAACTCCGTCGTTCCTAATATAAATAGAAATAGGTATATTTCTGAGAAAAATATATGTCACGATGTCATAACAGGTATTTCCAAAAGTTTCAAAAATAATATTTTTGGCTCAAAGGCAAGCCTATTTGAAACCCAGAAGCGAAATTTTTATTCGCGTTTTTTATTAGCCAATAGCAGCCCTGGCGCATCAAATTTAAAACACCCTGTGCATAATAATAATATCTCTACTTCTCATTCTAACTACGAGAATTAGCCCATAAGTCAGAGACTTGTGCTGGAGAGGTGGCGGCATATTATTATTAGGCAGGCCGCATTTGTGACTAGGAACGACTTATGTTGGTAAGCCCTAACCACCATTCAGTGCAGGAAAGAGGGAAACCTGAAAAACCTCATTGATTAGGGGGGTGGTCAAATGTCAACCGGTGTCAATCTCTTACATTGACCCAAGCCAACATTCTTCCACCCTACCATGCCTGCACAGAGGGTGCTAATCCTCCGTACAAGCATAGCTAATTTACAGTCTACCGGCTGCGGGAATCGAACCCGGGCAGAAATTTGCACACAATTAAACAACTGACGCCTTAAACCCTGCGGCTATCGACCGATCTAGCCAAATATACACTATATAATGTGGTGTTGTGTCATCTATCGGCTATTAACAGATAATTTTATTTATATTTCCATGGTTTGGTGAAAAATGAAGTATTCACATTAGATTTATAAAGGGAGATAATATTAAAAAAAACATCGTAAAATGGCCTGCAAGTAAAATTGCCCATTATTTAGAATCTAGAGATATCTGCTATTTAGGGGTGTTCATAGAAAGAAGTTTTCTTTGATTTGGTTAATAATAAATTTAAAAAATGTAAAGGGAGTACTGTAATGACATAATCATAAATGACATTTTGATATTTTAATAAAACTGTTTAATTTGGTATTTTTAAACAGAAAAAGGAATTATAAATCAAAATTGCTTCCAAAATATGCTTACGTATATACACATCTTCTGTTATATTCCAATGGAAATTTTTCAAACGTTTTGACTTCAGTAGAACATAAATGCTCAGTTAATGGAACGGACCATGTCAAATCTTCCACGAACGGTCCAATTTTTCGAACACAGGCAATTGTTGCTTCTCTAGCATGAACAGTTGATTGCAATGTATCATAAACATCACTGATGTATTGCTTTATAGAACCAATTTTATCAACCTACAGCAAAATATGTCAGTTAATCGAAGCATACAGGCTGTTACAAATTCGCTTCTCACCACAGGGATCTCGAAAACGGTAAGAGATACAAACTAGCTTAAATGAGGGCAAAATTGTGTAATCAGGGCCTCTAAAAAATCAAGGTTAACACGATTATTTTTCGAAATATTCGAAAAAACTGAAATTTTTGAAATTCGTTTTTGTTTCATTTCAGCCTTGTTTGGGGTGGTGCTGAAAAAAGAAGAACACTTTCTCATGGCCAATTTTTGCCCTCTATGGAATATGGAATTTAAGGTACTTCCTACCTCTTACCGTTTCTGAGATCCCTATAGTGTGAAGCGAATTTGTAACAGCCTGTATATAAAGACTGTTTCATTAATTAATTTCAATTTATAGTCTTTCAGATATCATTTGAAGAACTAATGTAAGTCGATGACGGTATGTACCAGGTTCGGTAGTTGACGCAGCATCTTGGCACTGAAATATTTGAAAAACTTGTTCCTATATTTATTTAACACGTTCGCGGCGTCGTGACCCACCGGTGGGTCACACAGCATTTTACTAATGGACGTGCGTGTCCACCGGTGGGTCACGATGTGGGATAATCCGAATGGCATTTTAAAATGTACGTTTGTTTTGAATGCTTTTCACAATGAAGTTACGGCTACCTGAAATGTATATCATTACACATAGAATTAAATACTTAAAACAAGGGCATTTTGAACAAAGTTAACTTTTTTTATTGAAAACTTGTTTAGACGTAATAAAAATGTCTGTCTGCTCTTTTCTCGTTTTCTCTTCTTAGTGTGATTCTCATTTTCATTAACCTGTACGTCTTCTTCACCTTCTTCTTGGTAGGTGACATTGGGGGTGTCTAATTGTAATAGCCCTTCAATTATTTTTTCCCGAAAGCGGAGCATGTCCATATTTTGTTTACCACTGTGGCAGTTATATATTACCCAAGAATTTACAACGCAAGTTCCAAGTAATAACTCAAAAATAACCCGTGTCCACGGGTGGGTCACGACGGCCCATAGGTAAAATTATTACCAGGGGACGTCGTGACCCACCAGTGGGTCACTTTCAAAATCTTGATCGGAATAAAAAAAAACATTATTACTGAAAAAATTACCTTTTATTGACACAAAAATAGGTTCAAATAAACAACTATTAAAAAAAAAAAATGCGTCCTATATAGTGGATTTCCCATTATCGTACCGTCGCGAACGTGTTAACCATATCCATAGACAGGTCTGGTCGAACTACACGTGGAGGTGGTAGAAATGTATACGCCTAGTTGAAGAATGCGAGCGCGGGCAAACAAAATCTAACACAACTGCATTGGACTACTGGGCAATAAATCTCAGCTTTTGACAAGTGGTTGACAAATTGCCCAGCAGTGCAGTGCAGCAATGCTGAATTTGGTGTGATTTAGGTAATTTTAATTTTTTATAGGCACCTTTCATTAATCATTTATATTACAATTGCGAAAGAGAGAAATAATATTATTACAACATGGCATTTTGGAGACCTTTTGAAATGGAACAAAACGAAATTTACCATCAATATAATAAAATTGTTTGAGAACATAAATAATTAAAATATGTTGTTGGTCAAATGAACATATAATAGAAATTTTTTACACATTATATACAAATTATTATAATTTTTTACCTTTAGTAGAAAACTTTTTTAGGGACTCCTATGAAACTAATTAAATTTGATTACTCAGTTTTTTTCTACATGTTCAACTGATTTCGGAAAGACTATACCTTAGTATAATTTTGCTCTCTTAAAATGTTACAGGCCTTCAAATGTTTTTTTTTTATTTAATTTTTAACTCTAATGAAATTCGATATGGAGGAATTTTTGAGGTATAGTCTTTCCGAAGTTAGTTGAACATGCAAAAAACCGTCTGGTAATATTTAATGAGTTTCATAGGCGTCCCCTAAAAAATTTTTCTGCTAAAGGTAAAAAATTATAATAATTTGTATACATTAATAATGGTACACAGCTTAATGGCAGATTGCTAACGCCAAAATATAACGATTGAGCCAAACATGCCTTAATCAATTGTTGCTCCTTTTTGTTCTACAGGGTGTTAAAGTTGAAAAATTATTTTCGATTTTTTACTATATTTTAAGTATGTATGGACTGATTGTTTTGAAAATTTGTAGTTTAACGTTTTTTGAAGTGGCAAATACGAACATGTAAACAGTGTCGGGGTCACGCCTAGGGGGTGCTAGTTATACTGTCCTATCAACGTAAAAATATGTCCAACTTTTTGTATTATACAATATTGAATTTTTTAACTAGAAATTATTGATCTGCGTTCAATTCTAAATAAAAAAGGTATCCTTGTTACAAATCGATAAACTCAACCGTTTTCGAGATACAGACGTTTCAAGTTTTTGAGATTCGGTGGAAACTAAATTAGAAAATTAACATTATCTTAACAAATTATTAATCATAAAAGATTATCAAAAATGTGTATTTAAAAAAGCTTTTCTGTATATCGTGTTTAATTGTGTTTATATTTTTTATAAAATCTAAATGAAAAACCTTCTCGGTAATATTACAAATTCAACTAAAAATTTCTGAAATCATTTAAAGCCCTTTGACCTTGAACATTTTCACACTTTTTTTTTTCTTTTTTGTCAATCAATGGATATGCTTCACCTATTCTCAATGTCATGAGCCGCCACTGCCTTCCACCTTACAAACACAAACATCACAAACACAAAAATTTTTTCAAGTTTTTCTCAAACCCACTATGGTAGTGTCAGCCCATCCTGATCTCAACAGGAGTTGCTAGGCCTTGACCACTCGGCTGCCACTGCACCTAAGAATGACTTAGTCTTTTGCTTTTTTCAGATTTTTTTGTTGTAGAAGAAACAAAAAATATATTTGTAGCATATCGCTAAAATCCTCTGTTCTGAAGAAAAATCTATTTAAATTTTTTACTGCAGGCATAATTTACAGTCAGTCGAGTATTCGAGAGTATTCTAATACACGTAAGTAAACTTCAGTCTTTCGAAAAATTTGGTAAAAAAAATTGAATATATTTTAGGACTTAGATTAATGTACTTTGTTAAAATTAAATACACTGGTGTTGGGTTTTGAACAAGAGCAGGTTGTCTAAATCATAAAAAATATTGTAAAAAAATGGTTTAATTTGATTAGATTACCTTAAAATTCTCAGTTGTTTGTAACTGATGACTGTTGTAAAAAGTAAAATAAATTTTTCTCTGGAACAGTCTATTTTAGCGACATGCAAAAAGTACATCTTTTTTAAAGTAAATAAAGTGGAGCCCCAAAGTACATCTGTATTCTTTGAAAATCTCTACCAACAAAAAAAAATGTGGCAGAAAGAGGTGTTCTTAGAGACCTCCGTATTTTAGCTAAAAAAGAAGTTCATACTCATACTCAGCAACCCAAAAAACTCTCCTAATTGTCTTCATTCATTTTCAATAAAAATGCTTTTTAAACTTGCTATGTACTTACAATATCTTCCTTGGTTTTGCTAATTTTTCCCAGAGTAATATGTAAATCATTTCTGGTATCAATTTTTTTTATCGAATTTATTTCCTTCTTCATTTCAGTTAGTGTAACATCTAAGCAGATGTCATAAAGTTGTAATTCAAATAGTTTCCCTACATCTTCCACCTGTTCTGGGAGAATGCCTCTACTGTTTATCGCTGCCTATAGAATCATAATTGTATAATAATGTTAGTAATACATTTAAAAAAACAAAGGCGAAAGGTGTTACTTATAAAATTAAAAGTATTATGGTATGCAAAATGACAAAATAAAGCATTTTAATATATTTCTATTAGTCCAATTAACTAAGCCTTTAAATCGAAATTTTGTCAACTTGGCTGAATTTTTGATATGAGTTAGTTTAAGGTATATTATAACAATAAGTGAGAGTAATTTTTTGTTCAACCCCCGGCCAAGGGTGGAAAAAGATAAAACAAAGGGCTTTTTCAAGATAACTCAAAAAGGGTAAGAGCTAGAAAAAAAAGTTTTTCATGAAAGTTGTAAAGCAGACAATTCTACATAAAAATGGCCTCTTAACTTTTTCTTGTACTATTACAATTAACAGAGTTAGGGAGGCTAGAAGTTAAGGGAAGATTTCAGAAATTTAATTTTGTTAAATCATTAAAATTAACGATTAAAAATTTGATTTTTTGTTATAACTTTCTTATTAAAAATTAAAAAATATATCTATTTCTCTGAAAAGAAAAGTTACATATTTTAGAGCAGATTGAAAAAAAAAATTACAAAATTCAATCATTTTTCTGTTTGTTATGATTTTTTTTAAATTTCTGAAATCTTCCCTTAACTTCTAGCCTCCCTAACTCTGTTAATTGTAATAGTACAAGAAAAAGTTAAGAGGCCATTTTTATGTAGAATTGTCTGCTTTACAACTTTCATGAAAAACTTTTTTTTCTAGCTCTTACCCTTTTTGAGTTATCTTGAAAAAGCCCTTTGTTTTATCTTTTTCCACCCTTGGCCGGGGGTTGAACAAAAAATTACTCTCACTTATTGTTATAATATACCTTAAACTAACTCATATCAAAAATTCAGCCAAGTTGGCAAAATTTCGATTTAAAGGCTTAGTTAATTGGACTATATGCATTCAATATAATATAATAAAATGATTTTAATATTACAACCAAAGGTACATGATCGTATGATTGAAAATAAATGGGATTTTTATATGACCAATTTTCAAAAATGCTCTTTCTAGATACAGACTGATCAAATTTAACCACTTAATATGCAAATTTTATGGAACCTTAACACTCTACAATTAGAAAAGAGAGCATTTTCGGTAAAATGTTCATGTGAAAAACTCTTGGAAAAACACTATTTAATCTAATACACTCTGTATTTTATTACTGTGCTATGTTGGGCAAAATATATTTTATATTCGGAAAGACTGAAGGGTGAAAACCATATTTCGGTATTTAAATTCATTTAATAGATACAGGGTTTTTAATTTTTGGCATCTTTCTTCATCAATACATGAGACACATCCATGGCATAGTTAATGTACTGGAACTGTATCAATAAACAGTTGAATTACAAAAAATCAATGTTTGGTATCTACTTCCATGGGCGTAGCTACGATTTTTGTTTGGGGTGGGCCCAGGGCTGCGAGCTCTATGGAGACCTCAAAAAAAAAAGTTAACGCAATTAGCGACTTACAGATATAAAATTTCAAAAGCTAAACACTATTTGATTCTAAAAAAAGGTCACGCAGTTATCAACTTACTGATATGAGAAAGACGATCTTATTGGATCTTTTGTTTTCTGAGGTGGGTACCGGACTTTCTGGGGTGGACCGTGCACACATCTGCCCCCCCCCCCACCTCCACCACCTAACTACGCCCATGTCTACTTTTGTAGGTATATAGTGGCTCATACAAACAAATAATATAAGTTTGCGCTTCCACTGGGAGTTAATAAAAAAAGACGTACACTTCAGTGGACCCTAATCAAAGACCGAATAAAATACCTTTTTATATATAAAGTAATTTTCATGAAAATTCTAGTAGGTGACTTGTTACAGTTGAGTTAGATATTAAATGGAATTGTGACGATACCTTAAGGATGAGTATTGAGTATTTTATTATTACAAAAATCAAATGAAGCTACAGGAAAATTAATTTCAGCAAAAAGGTAATAGGTATGCAAACAAATATAAACAATTTTGGGTTTGGAAGAAAGAAAATAAAGCTCAGAGGTCCAACAAAGATTTCACACAGTATTTCCACATAGTAAAACAATCATAAAAAGGTTTTTTTACTGTCATATGCAAAGATGGAATTAATTTTTTACAAACCTTTAAAAATTACCTAATAATTTGCAAGAAAAAAATGTTGTTTGTTGGATACATGAATGAAAAATACAATTCACAAAGAGTTGGTATTCACACTGTTGGAGGTATACCCAAAAAAAAAAGATAGTTCTGCGTCTTACTAGGCGAACCAGACACAGGCAATACACAGGCCATTGTTTTCGCCGTACATCGGCAACTTTATTTTGTAAATCTCTGTTTTGAAGCATCATGGTAGCTGGAAAAGTGCCTCAGTAGCTGGAAAATGGTTAGAGTCCTCAAAGAGAAGTTTAAAATATCTAGGATGATTCAGTAGAAGGTACATAGTTAAATCTTTTTGTATAATCAACCAAACATCTTAAGGAGGTTCAATACATCTCTTGCGAGGCAGGCGGTGCGGGTGGGAAGCCTATGCTTATACGTAGTAGTTTTGTCCAACCTTACATAAACTAATTTGAGCGAACTAAATATACGAATACTATATAATACTATATACGAATGAAATTTATACAACACATATTAGCTTGTATATATTTTTCGTGTTTAATGCACGGCAATTAACTTTTTATTTGAATAGAAGTGTCTATTTATTCATTAAGAGCTAAGGTGGTAAAAGTTGGGTCAACTGTCATTACTGTCAACTGTGCTTTGCGAGTATTCCATAAACATGAATGAACATATAAGGTACAAAGGAAAAGTAATGACTGAAAAGTAATGACTGAAAAGTAATGACTGAAAAGCAATATAAAATGCGTATGAAACAGAAGTGGATTGATGAGAATAAAGTAAAATGTGCAAACCGAGAATCCATATGATACTATCAAGAAGCTCAGTGTATGCTAGCAAGGCATCGCCTTGTCAAATTGAAGATTACGACAGAACATCTATACTGTTCGTTTTGCAAAGAGAGCCTTTCCATTTTTGTTCCAAATTGCTATTATATTGCATTAGACTGGAATAATTTTATAGCCTATAATCGAGCTATTCAAATATAGCACGTCGGTCGAAGCATTAAATACAGCGTACAGTGTTGCCATATTTCCTTTCATTGGATCAGATATTTGTTCAAATTTGTCAAAACGTTATATATTCATTCCATTATCTCAATAATTACATTGTAAGTGCATATTTTTATTGTTTTAAAATGTTTAGTAATATTTAATTCTTTAATTACAATTTTATTTTCCCGATCCTAACCATTTTTTAAGAGCAATATTCACGTTTGATTAAAGTTTTTTCCCAACTCACATAAGAGCCTGTGTATAAGAGCATAATTTTTAATATCATTTTTCAAAAAAACTGTATTGGCAATCAATCTGATATTTTTACACGAGGCAGTTGGCATATTTATTAACAGATTTCAATGATTTTGAAAACTTTTTTTTTTCAGTATCGAACCTCCTTAACTAATTTTTATCTATCATCAGGGCAAAATAAGAGAACCCTTAAAACTCAGTTATGGAAAAGCTTTTGTAAAGTTACCACTGAAGATGCCGCCAGTGAAGAACAGTGAAATGCTCGGAAGCATTGGATATGATTTACAAAATCCATTGCGAAACAACTCACAGGACCATTCGTAGCAGCGTTAGATGCAACAATAAGAACCAATATGAACATTAGGGTGGACCTAGGGATTCTGATAGTGTATCTGCCCCTATATAGCCTAGCCCGAGAGCAGTAAAGTCATGTCAAAAAAAATTCCTGGTTAAAAAACCATAGTACTTACTTTAAAAATAATAGAAACCTTTGTCCAACCAGCACAGTTGTATTACACATACATTAAATGTTCAGATTTAAATGTTAAATCATTGATAATAAACCATCAAGAAAAAATCAAGTTATACCTATATAAGGTATTAAGCTAATTCAAACAAATCCAAAAAAAATATTTTAAATTATCAAATGAAGTCTATGAATGCAAGATATCTAATCCCACAGACAAGACTCCTAACTGCTTATATTGCGGGAAAATTGTTTGACTTCATTCGATAAGATTAAAAAAAAAATTAAGTTTAGAGTAAAAAAATGTGAGAGCTAACAATAAAAAATATATGCCTATTTAAAAGTTATATGTTAGTTCACAATAAAATTTCCTCATTTGAATACATTGGGTAGCATATAATTTGTTTAGTATTTTTAAGGCTTAATTCAAATTATAACATCACTAATACTATGATTTCAATGTTTTTCATAACAATGTTCTGAATATACATACATAAACTTACATAAATGAACTTCTTCTTCTTCATAATTTTTCCCAGCATGTCTTTTAAAATAGCCTTTAATTTTAAAACTTGCAATTCAGTCTGTATGTGAAGAAACTGAAGTCTGGCAATGTCTTCTTGATTAATATTGTTGTTTCTATAAAATATAGTATCAACATTTTATTGACTGTAAAGAAAGCAAACACTTACCTTTCATTTTTTCTAAATTTTAAAATTATATTTTTTGCTACATCTAAGTTTAAATCATCATTTAGCGATTCAAAGGTATTCCAAATTATTTGTCTATTATGGTTATATAGCAAAGTCTGCAACTTGTTTGTAATAAACTCATCATTATAGAATTTGTCGAAAAGAATCTCTTTAGGCATCTGGTTTACATTCTTTAAATTATGGTGTTCACTGAACTGCAAAGTGCAGTTAATATCAAAATGGTTTTTAGGTAACGAGCCATTCACATTACTTTCATTAATGCTATACATATTCATAAAAATGTTTTCAACTGAATCAACTTCTAATTCATTATTCAGGTCATTCTTATTTAAATAAGAATCTGGTAATATTCCCAGTGACTCACGTTTATTTGCAGCATTTGCATGCTCTTCAGTGGCACTAGCAAACAAATTTTTACTTATTTTTCTATTGCTACTTGCATTTTCTTTATTATTTCTATTACTTTTTGCACTGCCTCTTCCATGTTTAAATACGGTAATTTTTTCTGAATGTTTCCGTTCACTCATGATTAAATATTTTTCGAAAGTAGATTGTGTCTTTGACTCCTTCTGAGCAGAATAAAATCTAAAGGATTTTTGAGTGGAATTATTATGTTTATTATGACTAGGAATTTCCTTTAAAATTTTCTCTAACTTTTCTGCACATTTTTGTAATGTCTCCTAAAATATTAATTTATTTACGACATTGATAAAATAAGATACAAATTTTGTATCATTTTTCCATGTATGTGTTAATAAAATACTGAATATAATAATTTCATGAATGTCAAAAAAGCCAAGCAAAATATTGTTATATGCGATTTTTGTGAATTTTATTAAAGCAAATAAAAACTACACAAAAAAAGCACCCTACATTTCAATACATTTAATACTGGAAATTATCTTTTAATCGATACTTAGCCGATATCAAAATTTCACAAGACAAAAAATGTCTTTAAATTAATTTTGAATTATTATATAAAATATAATTTCAAACATTCACAAGTTTTTATATATAGAAATAACACCTTATAAGTCATTTTCTTACATGTTCAAGATATACATGTTACATTTACACTAATATAAAAAAAATGTGTACCAAATAAGAAGTCTAACTAAAATAGTTTTAGTGCGATATATAAAAATGTTTCATAGTAATATATTCAATCAGCAAGAAATTTTGTTCATAATCAGTTGGTTTAATGCCCGTTTGCGCCGAAGTTAATAAACATAACTTAAAGTAGTTAAATCACCTAAATGGATACTATTCGAGATAATTACGAAATTTTTAGTACAATTAATTATGCATCTGACGGATACTTTTGCAAAATTTCAGCACACAAACACAGTTTCTGAGTTATGCTTAGTCAAAGTTGACTTTGTTTAGCATAGGCTTAATGGCGCCACCTCGAAAAATGTTGTCGTTATGATGAAAATGCTGCTGTTGCTAAATAACCCCATTCGAGAAACTGCTCAAATTTTAGACAAGACTAATTTGTGTAGAAATACCAATAGAAAGTAACAATCTGGAAAGAATTGACCAGCTAGGATTAAAGATATTAATACTGAAACTTATAAGTTTTTCGTATGATTATTCTTATAAATAAAACATGGCAACGTCGCACATTGAAGAAACGACTGTAATGCATCCACTATATTTAACACTAACCTAACCTAACCTTGTGCACCGTAAATATGTTTCCATCAATTTCTCTCTCATACACAGTTGCGCTATGTACGACGTTACCAGTTGTCAAAACTACATGATTCAAATATGAGACTTGCTCGAAAATTTTCTACTTGAACTTGGGAGTCAGTCAGTCATAATTTTCGAGATGAGAAAAATAATAAAAAAACATATGGCGCGTTTTGAAAGGGGAAAAAAATATCGTGTGAGGAGACTCGAATGCTACCAACTAGGCCACGCGACCAGTTGAAAAATGTGTCACATCTAGTGAATTTAATTAGCAGGCAGGTTTAAAATCGATTATTTTGATAACTTATGAACATTGAGTCTAACTATTTCGGAAAATTTTTATTCAAGATCCAAACTACACGTACCATAAATATAAAAAATTAGAAAAGTCCGATTACCTTCCCTTCTTGTAAGATAGCTGAAATCTTAAATTTAAGACAATTGTGATATAAAATATTCAAGAAAACAACATAATTATCACTCTATAAAACTCATTCAACAAATTAATTAAAACCAAATTCCAATAAAATATCTCATTTAGTTTGGGAAATATTTTTACAAAATTAATTTTAACACCCTGTATCTTGGAAATAAAAGTTGGCAGATCCATAATAACTTAAATAGTTATTAACGTTACAAGGCCGATAACAAGTAAATAACGGGCGAGGTGGAGTTTGTAATCCGAGGCATAGCGTAGCAGAGCCGAGGTTTATAATCTACCGAGGATGTTATTTACGTATCGGCCGTGTGTCGTTGAAGGGTTTTTGTTACACCAAGTTTCATTCATTTCATTTAAATAGCAATTTTCACAAATAATATGGGCATGCCAGAAAAATAAAAACATCAAGTTACAAGGCGGTTGCTAGGGTAATAAGTGTGTTTGTATTGTAGAAATTTATAATAGAAGTCTAGCATAAAGAAGTGTCGTGTTGACTTCTATTTGAAGGTTTTCAAATTTATCAGAATAATAATTGTGAAATCAATTTCCATATACATTATAATGAAAAATAAAACCTTTGTTTAACAGGAAATCATCATAATTATCTAATAAATGTAGTTGTATGTTGTGTGATTGTGTGTATATGTGTGAAGAAATCTTAACGGCCGGCATCCGTTAAGGATTCTTAACGGATGCCGGCCGTTAAGGACCAGTTATTGCGTCTATTTTGAGGTATGTTAAATGAAAATAACAGTACGGTGTAGCGAAAATAAATTAATTTGTTTTTTTAATCTCTTATTTCTTTTAGAATTTATAATAGTACATTTTTCTGAAACATATTAACAGTAGTACTACCCTTGTACTACTGATAAATATAAATCGGTAAAATAATATTATATTAAATAGTAGTTATTTATGGTACTAGTGTGTTATGGTATATACGTATGTCACGTTGGGAAATGTTTTCCCAAGTGACTTATATGACGCAACACACAAGTGCCATACAAAATTTTATTCAACACTCATAGAATTTCGTTTTAATAATAAATAAAAGTAACTTAAAATTTCAAGTTGTCAATGTCAGAAAAAGTAATTTAACAAAATGAATGTATTTTTAAATATTACAAAGGATGCGAGTGTCAACCTAAATTGTGTGTAACCTAGAGTTTCATAACTCACTAGTGAGTTGGCCACATTATTCCTTTAAAATCAAAGAAATTATAGTATCATTATACATATACAAGTGTTGGATAAATATATTTACCATAATTTCTGTAGAATTTGGATTTTCATCTAATTCCACTGGAGTCAAATTCTTAGCACAAGTTAAGGTTTCCTCTGCATTTTGAATATTTTTTTCCAACATTTTATACTTTTTATCTAGAAAATATTCTCGCTCTTTATTTTCCTGGATTTGTGATTTTAACTTCTCTATTGCAATATCTGAAACATCACAAGTATTTAATAGAGAAAAAGGCATAAGTATCACAATTGCCAGCTACATTAAGGTACCTGAATAACTTCTGCTTAGTATAGTAATTTTGTTTCATTAGATTTTCAAATACATATAAATACATAGGCCGACGTAAACTAGATTTAGTTACTGAACAATGCTTTATATTCCTATTTTGTGTATCTAACAAAACAAGAAAATAACTAATTTGCTTCAGATACTTCATATCAGATAAAATTATGATACAGGGTTGCTTTTATAACTATTATATTTTTCTTTCACTTATTCTGATTAGTATTCACATTTTTAGGCAGTATGGTCAGGAAAAATATAATAATATTAATACTCAAATAGCATGAACCTGTCCTAAGGATATCTTCAGGCTATGTGTACAAACCTGTCTTAAGGATATCCTCAGGATATCTGGTGGAATATAAAGAAACTAAAGAAAAATTTGATTTGAGTTATTCAGTTACCTTCGTATTTTTAACCAACAGAATAACTTACATTTTATTTTATTGTTTTTTGACTGATTGTTTACCATGTCTCTCTTTTCCTTAATAACACTTTGAAGACTATTTATTTTCTTTTCTAGAGCTTGCTTTTTTAAATATAACACTATGTTTTTAATGGGATAAGAAAATTCATCCTGAAAACATGGGTATTTAATATTCTATATTGATTTAAAAAAATAATAATTTAAATTATAAGTAGGTAATTATACTTGTTTATTTAAAGTTGTACTTCTCAGTCGGTTAATTATAACATTATTTCTCAAGTTGTCCACTTCTTGTTTTGGTTTTGTGTTCTGCATTAATTCATGCCAAATAAACGAAGTCGACTTATTACATATACTGGAATATTAATCAAAACTTAAAATATTTTGTTAAAGGTTAGTTTGATTAATTTTCTTACTTCACTAGTTGTTCCTCTGGAATGTGATAATCATAACCCATCATTTTAAACCATTTAATTAAATCTACATGATTTTCCATATTTATGTTAAGGAAAAATTATAGTTAAACCAATAACCAAATGTTTGAAATTATCAATTCACAGAAGATCGTTATATGTATTTTATTTAGCAGAATGTCAAATTCAAATTGTCTAAGCACACCACACACTACAGAATAATAAGCTCATAGATTCACAGAGCTGCGCCATAGACTTGGAAAACGCTTTAGATTTTATGCATACGTGATCACTAATCACAGATCACGGATCACGGATCAATCAACATGTACGGAGATATGCAGAATGATTGAAGAGTTTGGGGAATGCAGCCAAGGTAAGTTCATGCAGTAGCGCGCGCCATTATTCCATGGCTAGAAATTGGCCTCAATGATTCGGGATCGAAGGGGATTATTCCTCTTTAACCTCATCTCGTGTAGGCCTGGACAGCCTTCGTAGGTGGGCCCCATCCGTCGTCTACCCCGACCGCAAAAGCAGGAGGAGAGGGGAAAGGAGGGTATGGGGGGTGTGTATGTGTGTGTGTGTCGTTGTCTTCGTTTCTTCATCCTGGCTGTCTCTGAAACAGAAAAGGTTAGCGGGGGGGGGGTGTCGTTGGGGTGGTCACCCAGGGTCAAAAAGTTGGTGTCTAGGTCTTTTGTGTTTGTCGGTCACGTCGGGTACGTAGTCAACGGCTTGCCTGAGGAGGGGATTGTCATGTCTAGCGGCTACGTCAAACCGTTTCTTCGCATTTTGTCTTATTGTCTGTGTAGCGTTTCTGTATTGTAAGTCTCGTAATATGTCAGTGTTTCTTACGTACCAGGGCGCGTCGGTGGCCGTGCGGAGGGCTATGTTTTCCACAGCCTGTAATGACTTTAAGTGGCTATTTGCCGCGTGACCCCACGCCGCACTATAATTTATTTGGACTTAGGTATGGACAAAATTAAGTAGCGCCTCGTAGAAAAAAGATAAAAAAAATAAAAAATAGCGTTTTAAAGCTTAAGAGGAACAGATTACGGGAAAAATAATTATATTTCACCAGCACCGCATTTACACCCTCAAAATTGAGCCCCAAAATTATAATTTTGGAAAAAATGTACATTTTTTTGCTCTTGTTTGAAAAAAAAATTCTCAAATTATACAAAACATTTTTTTATAGTTTTTGAGATGAGGAATAAAGATCCATTGTTTAAATTCAACTAAAAAAATTTAGAACCCTTAAATTTACGAATATTTCAGTTTATGTTGTTTTTAGCTCTGATTTCCGCTCTTATGCATCGATTTGCTTGAAATTTGGAAGGTAGGTGGGGAATAGCTCAAGAAACAAAATACATCCTATGCTGATATGTATTTTTACCCAGGGGTGGATTCTACCCCTTTGTAGGGGTTGAAAATAAATTTTGTCAAAATAATCCCGGAAATCAATAGAGCAACTAATTTGAAGTAAAAAAATGTGTCATACAATTTTTTTGATAAACCATTACTTTTTTAGTTATTTGTGACTGAAAACCCAATTTTTCAATTGAATATTTTAGTTTTCAGTCGCAAATAACTCAAAAAGTATTGGTTTATCAAAAAAATTGTATAACACATTTCTTGTTTCAAATTAGTTGCTCTATCGATTCCCGGGATTATTTTGACAAAATTTATTTTCAACCTTACAAAGGGGTAGAAACCACCCCCAGGGTAAAAATATATATCAGCATGGGTGTATTTTGTTTCTTGAGCTATTCCCCACCTACTTTCCAAATTTCAAGCAAATCGATGCATAAGAGCGGAAATCAGAGTCAAAAACATCATAAACTGAAATATTCGTAAATTTAAGGGTTCTAAATTTTTTAGTTTAATTTAAACAATGGATCCTTATTAATCATATCAAAAACAATAAAAAAATGTTATGTATCAATTAAAAAAAAAATTTAGCAAACGAGGGAGCAAAAAATGTAAATTTTTTTCAAAATTATAATTTTGGGGCTCAATTTTGAGGGTGTAAATTTTCCCGTAATCTGTTCCTCTTAAGCTTTAAAACGCTATTTTTTGCTTTTTTTTATCTTTTTTCTACGAGGCGCTACTTAATTTTGTCCATTCCTAAATCCAAATGAATTATAGTGCGCCGTGGAGGCGTAGGTTAGCTGCGGTAGAAGTACCACCTTGATAAGCGTTCGCTTATTCCTTAAACTGAGGGTGTTTCCACCTTTGAGTAAGGGATAGAGCCTAGCCCTGGTGGTCTTCGCTCGCGCCACCGTCTCCACGATGTGCGGTTTCCACGTGAGACGCTGGTCCATCGTCACGCCCAGGTATCGTGTTTGTCGATTCCAGGAGATAGGTTCCTGGGATAGTGTCAGTCTGTCGAGGTTTTGTGGGATTTTTCGTTTGGTAAAAAGGATAGCCGAACTTTTGTTGGGATTAATTTTGACTTTCCACCTGTTGCACCAGGTTTCAAGTTGGTCTAAGGAG